TAGGCTCATTTGACTCCGCAATAATAGAGATTAAAGTGAAACAGAAATTAGCAAAGTGTGTCATCAACTTTGCTCAGAGTTTGTACTTGGAATAAATCTCATCTCACAATGTCAGAATGTCAGAAGTCAAAAAATAATAATTGGCAGTGTTACAGAAAACTTTATAACAAAGGTTTGGCTTACAAAACTGTTGGATCTGGGCAGGACCTGTTTGGTTACATTATCATTAGAAATTGGAGCTAAAGATGCTTTAAACAAAGACTAATCACATAGAATCAACAAAGTCTTGCTTGATTGATCCGTGATCATCAGATCAACAGGTCTCTCCTCATTCACTACACTGAACTGAATCACCACGAGCACACAGGAGTAGTTCCTCTAACTGAGCACATTTGAACGAGTCAACTTCCACAAAAACAGAGTTGAAGTTTCCATTGTACCTTCTTTGTGATGAAGGAAGGCTATAGGTCACTTGTAGCTCTGGGCAGGTGGTTAGCGGGATGAAGTTACAGCCTGTAATAGGCCTACATCAATTATAAAATGCAGAAGCAAAGTGTGCTTTCTAACAAACCGGCTGTTTTGCTTTGGTTTGGGATATATATATATATATATATATATCCAGAGAGAGAGAGAGAGAGAGAGAGAGAGAGAGAGAGAGAGAGAGAGGGAGACTCTCACCTTTGAGCCCTGCAAAGGTGTTCACAAATTAACCCTAAGGGGTTTCATTCGATAAGACCTTTACAGCATTTCGGATAATTAGTTAACATCTTGTTCTACTCAATGAATTAACAAAATGAAGCCCACAAAAAAAAAATGAATTATTATTTAAAAAATCTGGAGCTCCAGGACAAAAAGGTTTTAACACTAATGCACTTGACAGCGGTAGAACATTTGGCAACAATGCACTGTCCTCCCGTTAGCGTTAATTGCAACTGTGACAGCGGTTAAAGGCAAAGGTCCTCCTCTGACTCCCAATCATTTATCTCTCCGTTACAGAGAGCACTCTGGGTTTTTATTAGCGTAATAAAGTCGATCTTCACGATCACAAAAAGCCTCTTGACCCCTGGGTGCTCTGGAGGTATTCATCATCATCATATTTCTTTCTCTGTCACGCACGCTGCATGCTGCAAACCGGCAGGCACACGAGCAGAGGTGCTTCTCACTTACTTTACTGTTTAATTAGAATAATAAGATCATTTAAATGAAGCAAGGGGCAGGTGTATTGAGTATGAATGTGCATTATGTGTGCAGACTTAAACAAATTTAAATATTTTTTATAGATGTTATAATGTTAATACTGTATACGATAAATATCAATTAAATCCCATTTATGCCTTGACCGAGACAAACAGACGTCAGAGGTTGCGCGAGAGTAAATCTAATCCATGTACGCCCTCTTGTGGTTGAAGAACTCACGTTGTTCAAAGGGCCTTCTAGTTCTGCAACCTGATTGCATCTGTGGACAAAACATTAATTAATGCAGTTCTCTCACATGGTGATGTTAAAAAAAATATATAGCTACAACGATAGATATTCTTAGATATAAACAACACATGTTTTATGGATTAGATGAAATATTTCCAAAGAGGTATGAAGAATCCAAAAACTGAATAATCTAGACTAGACTAAAATAGACTTGGTATTTATTAGAAACCCATTTTCAAAAGAAAGAAAGTCATATCATGGCAGAGATGCTAAAGAAACGACATATGAGTAATTCATGTAAAAAAAAAATCATTGATTTTAATATGTAGAACTTCAAGAGTTCCATCAGTGCCAATAAAAAGACAGAAACTGGATCATTTGCACCCTGGAAATGTCTTGGATGACTGAGGATAATGAATTCATCCTGCAGATATAGAATAAGCTCTCTGTTCAGTAATTCATGTGCTGAGGTGGTGTTTACTGTTACAAGTTTATTTAATCAAAAAAAGCTGTCAAACTAATATGTGCTGGACAGTATGTTATGTAAGCCTATAATTCTGGCAAAAAGTACAGTGACCACAACCAAAAACATGTTGAGGTCATCTTTCCTTCTGCGGAGAGTAGAGAAGCCACATACATCTGTGATGTTTGACATACTAAAAAGTAAATAACTATAAACGGTATTGGTCGAACTGATATTCAGTTTGCTTTTCCTGTAAAGGATCAATGCAAAATCACAAAATGTTACCTTGATTACATGAAAACAAGTGTTGAATTCTTTGAAATGAATATGTTGCCCATAATACACATCAGGTCAGTTATGTGTCTGGCTGTTTAAAGGTCAGTGGGTCTTTGAGGAGGTGGGTACTCTCTGTTGGTCCGGATGCTCCTGTCTTTGAATCGCCTTTGAACAAGAGGTCAGCGCTCTCAAAGGCAGGTTGTACTGACGTCATCATGACCACAACATGACCCACCTCCATATTTTGTTGTGCGTTTTAAGTTGAATTTAATGAGTAGAGGAAAGTATACGGGGTCGTACCTACATAATCTAACAGTGGTGTATAATGAATATTAAAACTCAAGATATCTAAATATTTGAGCTGAGGTATTAAAATCTATTTGATGTTGTAGGAAAGTTATTATTTGTATATATTTGAATTGTATTTTAAATGTGTGCTGCATGCTACAGTGGAATTGAGAGCATCGCAGATAATGCTTTGTGACTGGCTTCCTTAATATACAGTACAATAGGCACATTTCAGTGTTGATGTAAATTACATCAGCTGAAAAGCTGACATTACATACTTGTAGCACAACTACAATGTGTATATACATGTACAGCCTGTTTTCTGATGCAGCCGGGGGCGGCAGATCACTGACGTAGACGTCCCCCCCCGATCCCCTTTAAAATCTGTCTTTGGAACATTCGTCACACTCAGTTCTTTCCTCAGAGGCGGACACATCGAAGCAGGTGAGGAAACAAATATTTGTAATTTCGCCAATTGCCAGCAACTTTAACTTCCTCTTTTTATAGTTCTGAAAAGTGTGTTCTGTTTCATGCATTGTTTGTTTGATTTATCTAAATTGTATTTTGTATTCTTGTTGCCAAAGGAAAAAAGTTTGGACTCTTCAAAGACATCACATTGTATTAAATCATCAGAAAACAACTATGTGGGTGTTTGACAAGATCAGGGAGAGCATGGAGAGCATTCCTCTGGAGCTGCGTCGTTACCTGGGGAAGAGTGAGGAGGATATCTTTCTGTCTTCTAAGGCCAGTCTCTCTCTGCACAACAACATCCTCACCCCAGACACGATCCCAGAGTTCTGCCTGCCCCCCAGGCTTTGCAAGAGAAGCCCGCTGCTGGAAGCAGAGACAGCGTCACCTAACCTACACCGTCAGTACCAGATGCCCAAGAGCCGCACCTTCTCAAACACTGCACATGCAAAGACAAAGGACGTGAAGACGAAAAATGGTGATGCATCGATGGCTTGGAAAGCTACAAAGAAACTGTTGCCATTCTCTGCAGAGGGGTATGGCCTGGCTGGAATATATGAGAGCCCCAACACTCGAAGGAAAGAGTCTTTGTTCCACTCAAAGCGCCCTGTTTACATGTTTGATAGAAGTCTTCCTACTGCAGCACCCAGGCTAGCAAAGGTGACAAACCTGCCCAAGAAAACTTTGTCTGGGTTTTTACCTCTGTTTTCATCCAAGAGCCTGTCAGAGACAGGAAGCACAGGAAGTGAAACACCTTCTTCCAGTGACTCCTCTCCCCTCAGTTCACCTTATAGTGCTAAATCCTCCCTCTACTTCCCACCAGGCAGTAGCCGTCTTGAAGGAGCAATATCCTGTCCTTCATTAAATGACAGAAGGGTGGACAGAGGCAGGTGGAGGAGGGGGGGTTTAAGTTTAACAAACTCGGCCAGTAGCCCTCCAAGCTTAAAGGAAAGTTCAGTCACCTTAGCCCCACCTGTCCTCTCCCCGTTGGATGTTCTGTGGTGCCAGGAGCTACTTCAGCATGAGCATGTCCTTCCTTTGCACGGCCGTGGTAAGGTGCGCCTCTTCGCTGAGCACAGCACATTCTCCACCAACACGTTTCCCTCCCTTTCCACAGTCAGAGTCTGTGTGGTGTCTGTGGAAGGTTTATGCGATGATACTGACCGACACACCCTGAACTGTGCAGTAAATCTGTGTCTGACCCCAGGGAAGCTTCAGCAACAGGAGAGCACCACCATCAGGAACTGCCGCAGCCCTGTGTTTAATGAGGATTTCTTCTTTACAGAGCTCAGTAGGGAGGATCTGCTGGAACTGCAGCTCAGGTTAAAAGTGGTGTATAAACCTGCAGCTGGAACATTGAGGAGAGCGACAGTGATTGGAGCGACCACCAAACCACTGTGTCAGTTACTGTCTCTTGAAAAATAGGTAGAGGAATAACCCATTTTGTGTAGTCTGGTGGGAAGACAGCAGATGATATGTGATAACTATTACAATATAAAAGAAAAAGGTTGAAGAGAGGGACATTAATGTAGTTTGTTTTGGCTATATGAGCATTTGCTGCTGCTATGTAAAAATGTCCCAGATGGTGAAAATACTAAGCAACAATATTTAGACATTATACAATTTTAGTTATCAGGTGTTAACAAATGTTATTGTATTTTTGGTATTCCACCACCAACCAAATTGCAGTGTGATTTGCAGCATGTTTCTATTAGGTTTCCTTGTTCTCAGACAAAACCATACTTATCATAATAGTTTGGGATCTGCATGTCAAATTTGATTTTTTTCTAATTCCTTTCTGTAAATAGCCAAAAAAATAGGCCTACTGATTTGAAAAAAATACTAAATATAAGCTTTCATACTGTTTGTAAACTGTGTCAATGTACTGTTTGGTTTCATTCCTGAGTAAATAAATTGAATTTGTGGATATGGTATTTTGCCAGTATAATTTTTACGACATGTAATAAAAAGCTCTCAATCAAGTACGGTTCCCCTCTTGTTGCAGCCATCAAGAGTTGGTTGCAGGAGTAGATTCATTTTCCCGGAAGTAACTAATCGTATGGCGTCAAAGCCCCCGCCCACCGCAGAGCGTCCTAATCTGACGTTGAGGCTAACGAACCCTCAGGATGTAAACATGGTGACAGGTAGATGAAAGAAACGCCAAAATGGTCTTCGAAAGCGTGGTGGTAGATGTCCTCAACCGATTTTTAGGGGACTACGTTGTCAACCTTGACAGCTCACAGCTAAAGCTCGGCATATGGGGAGGTAACTGAATTTGTGTTTGTCATTTTAGTGGATCGGGTCACTCGCCAAGCTAACTAGCAGACGTTAGCCACCAGTCGCCTGAGAGAGGCTCCCCCAGCTGTCAGTGCCAGTTTATTTAGTCCAGTGTGAGCAACACAGTGCAGCCAAATACGAGTTCATAGATAGTTCAGTCAGCGTTGTTAATGTCTGACCGACTACGTGTGCCTTATTTCCTGCTGCAACATTGTTTGCTCAGTATAATGATGCGAGTTTCAGAGAAGTGAGCAGTTCGGGGTTACACCCTTTCACACGGCCACAGAGCCTAAAGTTATTAGGCACCACATCAGTGAGAGGATTAGAAGAGCCACAGAGCCACTGCTAAACATGTACCAACGTGTAGCAACTAGCTACTTAACTAGCCGAACCACAGCGTGAACGTGTGTGGCTTTAATAAAACATAACTTATGTTGAATTAAATCAATAGACAAATGCCAACGAGCTCCTCTGTAGATTTGACTATTTTTCCACGAGTCTCATAACACAATACTAATCTGTTTGGCCTGTCAAAATGCACATCGCAACGATCAGTAAACACATGTTCGTGTCATCGCAGGTGATGCTGTTCTTAGAAATCTCGAGATAAAGGAAAATGCCTTGGTAAGTTGCAAATTAATGCTTCAGTAAGTGAGCAATATGAGTCTCATCATGACATTCTGGCATTAATGATGGATTTGTGTCGCATTGATTGACTGTTATTTTGTTGCAGAGTCAACTCGACATTCCTTTTAAAGTGAGAGCCGGTCATATAGGTGAGAATGTAGTTACTCTCCCTATCCGCCATCTACTCTCCTTATTTGCCACCTTTCCTTTGATACAGATTTGTGTTTCTGTCATCAGGACAGCTGCAGCTAAAGATACCATGGAAGAACCTCTACACTCAGTCAGTAGAGGCAACTCTGGATGGTGTCTATCTGCTCATAGTCCCAACAGCAAGTAAGATCATCATCTGTGCCCAGCTAAATACATACAAAATGATGAGATTGAAGCACTCATCATGACAACACATATGCTGTTGATTCCCACCATTTCAGCAGACGCACAAAGTGCCTGAAGGATATTAACATGCTGTATGTCAGGGTTGATGATTAGGTTCCACTGTTTACATTTTAGATATTTAAAACTCAAAAACACATTACAACATCTTTGCATTTTAATGACTTTTATTGTAGTGAAATCCCGCAGCATGCATTTGAAATATCATTAATATCAAGTTCAGTCTAATGAGTAACCCTTTTGATTAGCAGACACAACACAGTGTAGCACAGTAGTCGGACACAGAAGGTCTTTCACTTATTCATGACTCTAAAGTACTTGTCAGGACTAACAGGAAACTCCAATTTAACCCTCTCTATGTTTTGTTGTTTCCAGAGATGTGCACACAAGTCATCATTTTTATTGACCCCATTCTTTCCAGGTATAAAGTATGATGCAGTAAAGGAGGAAAGGCAGCTTCAGGAGGCTCGTCAGAGGGAGCTACAGCGGATAGAGGAGACAAAGCTGAAGGCTGCAGAGAAAGGTCTGTGTGTGTGTGTGTGTGTGTGTGTGTGTGTGTGTGTGTGTGTGTGT